GGACAATTTAAGATGGATGGACGGATCAAGTTATGTAAAAAGAAAATACAACCTTATTCAAAATCCAAGCTTTTATATGTCAGAACGTGACAAAAATCAGTCGTTCCTTAGCAAAGCTTAAAGTTGTGGAAATACAAGCCTGGATGAACAACATTGACATATTACACCGTGTCATTAATAATTTAATAAAAACTGAGGAAAAATGCAGAAGCAGTGTGTCCAAAACGAACTATCCTCTTACTGCTTTCATAGGAATTAAGAGGGTAAATAGCACTAAATGCATCTGATCAATTCAATCAGTATCTGTGACAAAGCTGAAGTTTTGGCAGTTTTCACATGTGCATTAACACAATGCCAAGGAGGAAAGATACCTGCAGTAATTTTAGAGAAGCAACTCTTTTTACCTATCACTCTGTGTAAGTCATTCCCACAAAATCTAAGTTCATCATAGTCTTCATCATTCACTGCTTCTGTGTGTAGATAGATAGATAATTATAGTTTAATAGCAGGATATTATTATCTGCCAACACAGCCAGTTTGAGGTTATGTCTATTTATTGTTATGCTCTTCTGAACTCCTGATATTACCCACACCAGTAAAAGTAGCACTGAAACAGACACTAAACCCACTGAGTTAAAATCAATAAAAATCACTGATATAAAACTAAATAAAAATGGGAAATTTAGTGAAAATGACTAAACAGCAGTAAATCTGGCGCTAATAGACCATCCTCGCTGTGGGCCCCTGAGTCATAAAGATGTGGCGTCCCCTGGTGGGAAAATGTCAGCTCTCCTGCATGCGTCAGCAGCAGGGGAGCTAACAGACAGCTATAATTACACATTCATATTTGTACTGTGAGTAACTTTACACATTAACGTCAGTCAAGGTATTTTTAATTTTCATTTTGCACATCAGAAACATTTTTTACAACAGCAAATTATTCACATTTGACTATCAAAATATAGGTTCATTTCATTCCCCCCTGGGCTGCAAAGAACCCATGTTGTGTAATAATAATGCTACACAGACTATAAATAATCCTAAGCGGTATTAACTTTTTTTTTGTCTTTTTAAAGCGATGACTGTTTATATCCCGGAGGAGGACGCGTCTCTGAATGCCTCTCCGTGGCTGAAACAGCTCGAGTCAGTTTGCGTGTAAATATTCATTTTAAAATTCAAGTCAAGGTATTTTCACAGGTAAGTTTCTAAAATGCACACATTGCACCTGCTGAGTTCATTCGACCACCTTCCACCTCAAATTCAAAGAGCCTCCAAATCAAAGTTCACTGCTCGCGGCAAAGCAAACGTGAAGCCTGACGAGTCTAAAGTAAGACAACGAGCTGTTTGACACTAAAGTTTGTTTTTTTGCTTTTGCAGCTGTAGACTCATTCACACCAAAACATTTCCAACTAACGAAAAACTGGCAAAGGCCCACAAACATGAAATGTGCACGTTCAGATATCAACAGCCTTTCGCTCGCACTTGTATCAACTTGGCAGCATGCATGGCATTTATAAAAACACCACATAGCTCAAAAATAGAAATTGCACATTCGCCATTTGGGAAGGGGGGGGGTCCATCTGTGAACTGTCAGAACTGTCCTTATACATGTGTGTGTGTAAGTGTGTGTGTGTAAGTATGTGTGTCATGTGGCTCTGTCTCCCTCGTTTATTTCTTCCTAAGCAGGTAAATGCCGTTTCAGGACATCTCTGGCGTTTGTCGGCAAAGACTCAGGAAAGTTCACATCAAACTCCACCACCAGGTCTCCTCTCTGCTCGGGGTTTTTGGGGAACGGGAGACCCTGTCCGGCTACAGTTTTTCTCATGCCGGGCTTGACGACGTCCGTGATCTTCATGTTGCACGTCTTCCCGTCTATCGTCGACACGGTGACGGAGCATCCGCACAGCGACTGTGAAGACAAGAATATGAGTGTAAGGTGAGGATCGGCGGGAGAACAGCAACCCACACACTGACGACTGCAAAAACGGCAGAAATAACACAGAAATCTGCTCACCGGCTGTGTCGGGGCATCATCTATGGTTCCTTTTATCATTATTTTATTATTATTAAAGGTTTTCTCTTCCTTTGTCCCACTTTCAGTTTCCTTCTTACTTTATTCTACAGGTTTGATCCTCGTGTGTTTGTTCTTCTCCGCTCTGTTGTTTTCCCACCCTGCTTGTTGTGTGATTGTGTTCACCCGTTTCTTATTACCCTTCCCTGCTTGTGTGTATTTAATCCCTGTGTTTCCTTTGGCTGGATCTCTACAGTTTCAGGATTTATCTTATTTGCCCATCTGATATGGTTTTCCTGCTATCAATGCCAGCAATAATTACAGTTTCCCCTTAATTCCCTGAAAGCCCAAAATGGTTTCCTCTCTGTGTTTGAATCTTTTCTGCAGACTAAACCAGAGGCATGAGATGCCTCATGCAAAAATTCACAGTAAAGGTCAGTGGAAAAAACATAATTACACAACAAATGTCAAAATATGTGTTCATGCCTTTGTTATGCAAGTTAAAAAGTAAAAGAAAAAGCAATTTAACTGCAGCTTTATCTGATCAGATAAAGCCGTGCTTACTTTGCGATACATGCGTAGAATCTGGCATTACACTAGAGCTATTAATCAAATACTTTACTGTTCTATCTAATCTAACTCAAAACATGAGCGTAGGTGGATCGAGAGAGAAATTCTGCAACCAAAGCTGCACAAAAGCAGACAAAAAGAGCAAATACACCCAGAGTGAAAAGAGATGAGCTGATAAACAAAAGCTCCTCAAGTCTAACATCTGCTACCAGTACAATGTGACCATATTAACTAAACTGTATATTTTTTTAACATGATATCAACTTAATATTTTCGAGTGTTTGTTTTGGAGCCTCGAGCTGATGCCATCTTAGCGTTGAAGCTGGGTGTGACCGGCAGCAGCTTTTCAAACCTAAAATATCCTCAGCTTGGTTTTCCTTCCTGACACTAACGAGGAGCATAACTGACAAAACAAACAACATGTTGCATTCAATGTGAGATCCAACTTGAAACTGAGAACTAGAGGAGTCTCCCCCTGCTGGTCATCAGCAAGAATGCAGGTTTAAGGCACTATAGCATATTATCCAAGCTAGAAGCTACATCTGTCTTTTAGATTTCTGATTAATCTTCAACAGACTTTAAAATTTAGTTTAATTCTGCTTCCACAAAACAATCTTAAAGGCTATTTTCAGAACCCTGAACCACTTGAACTCTCCGGATTAGTCTTCATCAAGAGAAGGAAGTTTGACCAGCATCAAATGGTTACAGGTGGTCATAATTTCCATGTTGAAAGACTAAATGGCTTCAGTTATCATTCTGTCTGTGTGCTTTTTTATTTTTAATTGGGTCATAGTTTCTTCTTAACAAGAGTCTCATTGTGATTGGAAACTGATTGAGAGGCAGCTTAATTATAGCATGCACAGCTGATCTGCTGGTAGTGGTCATAAATTCAGAGATGTGGAGGTTATATCTCTCACTGTGTGCTGAGGGGGAGGAACCACATAAGTAAGTACATCTTGCACCGTGTGCACGTGGGTGGCCGTCGCCTCTCCGCTCTCCCTGCGATACAGCTCCTACTTCTCTGCGCCGATGATCCAGATTACATAAGTGTGCATTCAAGGTGTGTGTGTGTGAGAGTTTGGTCTGGTACTATACTCATTCATTTAAGCCCGTGCTTTCCAGGGAAACAGCTTTTGAAGCAGAGTACCTACAGTTTATTGATTAAGCTGCAGCGCATTAAAAGCTGCACTCACAGCTAAATATGAACTTGTTCTGTGTGTGACTTATTCATCTACCAGACTCTATTAATACATCTACACTCAGACAAAGCAGGTGCCAAAATAGAAAAGGCCTCACCTGTCGTAAGCTCACACGCACTGGATACACAATGTTGGAGCCCTCCCGCCTAAAGTGGGGGTGTGGTTTGTCCTTGATGACGAAAACAATGTCAGCGGGAATAGTATTTGGAGACTCGTCTCCCTCCCGGGGGAACGTGATCTTGGTTCCCTCCTTCCAGCCCCGCTTAATCTCGATAGTGAGAATCTTATCCTCAGTGCGCATGGTCCTGCCATCTGGATTTAGCCTTTTGCGGGAGATTTTCATCCTCTTGGTGCAGCCGTGGAACACCTCCTCCAGGGTGACCCTCAGTTCGTGGATGATGGGCGGGTCCTGCTTCCGCCGCTGCTGCCCCCCGAGGCCCACGTGGCCGTCACGGGGGAAGCCGTTCAGGTTGAAGCTGGTGAAGGAGCCGAAGGGGTCGTTTCCGTCCACCTCCATGTCCTCGTCGTCTCGCCCGTTCGCTTTACGCCCGAAGAACATCTCGAAGGGGTTGGAGCCTCCGAAGAAAGTGGCGAAGGTGGCGTGAGGGTCTCCGTGGAAGGTGTAGGTGAAAGTGGTGCCTTGTCCGTCACCAGTGGGCCCACTTCCTCCCTTGAGACCTTTTGGGCAACAGAAATGATTAATGACATGAGAGCACTTACAGCATGACTGATAAACTCTGACTTCAAAGTACAGCCCAGTTTATCAGAGTTCTGCTGAATGATCTTAGAGCTAAAACATCAAACCACGATGGTCCCAGTTTCTTTATTTCACACTTTACGTCATTCTTGAGTGCGTATTGTGGTTTTTAAGTGTTAAAATACCACATTACCTCAGAGATTACCTACATCTTATTAATGATGTTCCTCAACCATCATTCCAAAATAAAACAGAAAAATATGGGAGTAAAGTCCTCACTAAGACCAAAAAAGTGGACCACATCAGTCCAGCTCTGAGGTCTTTACAC